CATGCCTTCTCTGCCTTGGTGCCTGCGTTCCTGCCGGGTGGAGACCTAGCAGTGTGTCTGCATTGCTGTCTGCCCTTCAGAGCGGCTGTGTCGGTGCATGATCCCCTCAGAAGTGCACAGCAGTGCGTCTTCTTGGGCTCCACTCGATGTTGACATGAACTTACACAGCCGTTTCCTCCTGGCTGATGGGTAACAGCAATGTACTTCTCAAAATTTGTATTCCCCAGATTCTTAAAGGGATGGATTTTTTCATCTGTTCGTTTTCTATTTGAATTACTTCTATATATTGTCTAATGACAACATTCCCCATTTTTCTGTTATGGTTTTTGCTTGTTTTGTTCCTACGAGTCTGAAGCACTTTTTCTTGCTGATCTGACTCAGTTTCAAGTATTCCTACGGTAGGAAGAGGTTTTAAATATCAAGAATGCTTGTTGGGTTTAACTGGCTGCCTTTTCATCGTGTGAGGATCAGGTGATATTTATTTGACCTATTGATGTAAGACACCTGTAGTTGTAAGAACTTTAAAAAGCAGAGCTGCTTAATGTTTTATGGGATGCAGGAGTGATGCCAATGTGAGGCTTTTGAAAGCAAGTGTGGAGGGTGTGTCCCAGAGGGTCTGGAGGGCAATCATAGGCAACCAGCTGAAGCTCATGCAGGGCCTGGTGACGTGGGAGGGTCTGGCTTCCACGTACAGGCAACATACATCAACTGGTGACTTTCCGACTCGAGGATAGCTGCAGAATTGACTATTACTGTAGAGGATGGTGGCAGGAGAAGAAAATAAAAGCAAGCAGGGAGCTGGATGGGAAGTGGGGCTGCAGGGATTAAAACTGGCGCCCATATGGGATCCCTGGCGTGCAAGGTGAGGACCTTAACCACTGCGCCACTGCGCCGGGCCCTAACTAGCGATTCTAATGCCAGTTGGGTGCGTGATTCTAAGACGCCACAGGAAGGAGATGACTGGGGAGTCCCCGCAAAAGCGAGGTTCATTAGCATTCCACATAGGTCACACAACAGACTGCTTGCACTTTCATGGGACATGATGGCTGATGCCAAGTAGGGAAGGACCTCTGTAGGGAAGACGAAACAGCTACCATTTGCGGATCGTTGGAAAGCAAACACAAAGGCCAGTGGGCAGGAGTCGCAGGAGTTTCAGATGAGGCACAGTGTAAGGAAGAACCATCTAACCACTTACGCTATCCAAACAGAGTGGGCTGCTGGTTGACAGATTTCCCCATCTGCTTCAAGTGTGCAGGCACAAGTGGGCCCTTCACTTTTCAGGAGCTGTCCTGGGATAGATTCATATATTATTTGTAGGTGATTCTAAAGTGCCTTCTGCTTTGGAGATTCTGTGATCTGCAGATGTAGTAATGCTGTAACCAACATGGTGGAAGGAATCAAAAGGAGAAAGAGGGAGCAAATCTAGACCACTCACTGCAAAAATAAAAGGTAGTCACCCAGTCATGCATTCTAGACAAAGAAGCCATCATCATAGCTCCAAAGCCAGAATTACCCCCAGTTGGTATAGGGCTGCCCCAAACAATTGGAAAGGAGGCCTTAAATCAACATCCTGCAGAGGATTTTGTTGTTGCGGTGGTGGTTTTATTCCATCAGGGACAAAAGTGTCAAAATAGATATTAATGATGCTCAGAAAAAGGGACAACGCACACTCCACATTTAGCCTCTTCTATGGAAAGTCTGACTTCTCTGACAGCTGAGGAGTGTGGGGCAACAGGCAAGTCGCTTCCTTGCAAGCAGGGCTAAGTCACAGCCTGAGAGAAAGCGAAAAGGCAAGAATAAGAAAGGGGTGGAATAAAGAGAGAAGGAGAAAAGAGGACAAGATGCATAGGTGCCTTTACTGCGCTTCCAGCTTAGGGCGAGTCCTGGGAGCCCGGAGCTGGGGAGCAGGAGGCGGTAGCTCTGAGGCCAGCTGTGCCGCGACTTCCCTAGAGACCTTGGGAGTGTCGGGCCGTCCTGTTAGCCTAAAAGTGCTCGGAGCTTTGGGGAGGAAAACAGCTTCAAAAATGGAAGATGTTGTTTCGTTCCCTATCTTTAAGGTCGGGAGGAGGGAAGACTAGTAAGTGGAGAGGGTAGAAAAGAAGGTGAGAATACACTATGCCCAGAGGAGTTCTGCTCTACCGGACGCTTCAGGGAGCTCCGAGGCTGGCAATCTGCCAGGGACTTCTGCCTGCGGTCCCCTAGATCCCGCTGGGCACGCAAGCTTCGCGTGAACACCCTGTGAAATCCAGGGGCGAAAAGCAAGGCGCGCCCCTCCCCCACTAGATGGCACTGAAACGCCTAGTTCGCGATTTTCCTAAAGCAGAAAGGAGGTGTTGAGGGGAGACAAAAAGAATATGGTGGAGGTGCACTGCTGTAGGCCCGCACGCCCCCGTTGTGCAAAGCGGGGTACCGGGCAATTTCCTTCATCTAGACAACCTCTTCACCCTGGAGGGCAAGGCAGGGCAGGGCGGAGCCTCGGCTGTGCAGCGAGGCTGCAAACCAGGGGGCGAGCGTTACCGAAAAAGCCCTAGTGCTGAAGCTGGGGGGAGGCTCCCAGCTCTTGGGGTGCCCTCTCACCAGGCAGCGGGGCCTGGGCTTTCTCGCCCAAGGTTTGGGGTCCGGTAGGGACCCTCTTCTTAACCCCTGCAGGAGCTGCATCCGGCCCGTCACCCACACACAATGACAAACTCTCCTCCGAGGGTCCTCCCCATCTTCCCAGCTCGCAAAAGCCGGCATCAACTGTTCGCCCCCGCCCATTAACGTTCTTCCGATCTGGAATAGGTCGGTCCCTTTTCTTTCCGTCTGAAGAGGGTGGCCAGAAGGAGGTGGGTGTGTGTTGGGGAGCCTGGTGCTGGCGTGGGCTGCGCCCGGGGGCTGGCCGCGGTCACCCAGCGCGGGCTGTGCTGAGCCTAGCTCCGGAGGAAACGCCTGTAGCTGACCGGGTAGCGCCTGTGGCTTTAGGGGCTCAAACAAAGATCAAATGCAACTGGGGAAGCAGCGAGCTTGCCCAGCTTCTCGTAAGCCCATTCGGCAAAAAGCAGCCTTTTCTGTAAAGAACGCTGGCGAATTTCAAGGAAATTTTCCACGGCTGGAGAGAGAACCAGGAGATGCAGGCAACATCTCTAAATTTATAATAGTGCATGTAAACATGCTACATGCCACATATATGTATATGTGCATAGATATGGATGTGGTCGGGCACATACCTTTCTAGACACCATTGACTTGCCTGGTCAAAGAATAAAGCTCATACATTTCTTGCTCGGGAAATGGTGCAGTTTATCTTTAAGGAGGCTAGAAAAATAAGAGATGAGGCTCACGTTGCACGGATGACATCACTAGCTTTTGGCTGCGCGCTCCGTGTTCTCGTCTGTGGGTTTTAGCCAAGGCTGCAGCGCCCGGCACCCGAGCGAGAGAGCACGGCAGCGGCTTCCTCCGGCTCCCGCACTCGGGCGATGCGATTTGCAGAGCCCCCCGGTCGCAACCGGGGCCCTCGCTCTTCCCAGGCAGGGGCCGAGCCCGCGAGGCCTTGAAGCCGCGGCGGCTAGAGGAGGAGGCTGGGAGGAGAAGCGGAGCGACCCAGCCGCCCTCCCCCACTCCCGCCCCAGTCACCTAGGCTATCGCCGCGCGCCGGGAGCCGGACCGCGGACGCTGAGGCACAGGCTTCTCTGCACGCTGACGATTGAGCCGGCTTCTCGGCGTCCAGGTGTGCTGCAAAGAAAATGGTGCAATCCGAGAGCAGCTGACCCTAGCTGGGCAGAGCAGAGCCGGTGCGAGGGAGCCAGGGCGCAGGTGGCGGGAGAAGGGGGCGGGTTGTTTCGAGGGGCCGGGCCCGGGGTTTTCCTCGGTGTCTGCAGCATTTTCTTTGCACCTGGGCAGAACTCCCCGGGAGCACGCTAGCCGGATGAAGTGAGGCGAGTCTGGAGGCTGCGGAGCGGACCCTCCTGGAACAAGACTGCGCCGGGGACAGCGGCATGACGCCGGGGGGCCTGGCTGCGAGGCCGGCAGCGCGCGGCAACGGCGCGACCTGTCCATGGTGTTGAAGGCGCCGCGCGCCGTGCGCCCCGCCGGGTGCGCCTTCCTCGGCGCAGCCCGCCCCTTGCTCCCGCCAGCTGCAGCCGGTTCTCGGCAAACCGCCTGCGGGACTTAATCCCGTAACGCCGCCCAGGTGAAGGCGCAGTCGACCCCAAGAGGCGGCCTGAATGGGGAGGCCAGAAGCCGGCGGCCGGGGAGAGCTCAGGGAGAGGTCGGCAGAGATGGTGCGTCGGCCGGGAGCCTTCCTTTGAGCGCAGCGCGTGGGCCAGAAGGAGCAAGGGACCTGCCGGTGACCAGAGGACGGAGATTTTAAAGGTCTGACCCAGAGAGGAAAGAACGTTTCTGGGTGTGTGCAGACCGACGGCGGAGAGCTCCTCAGAGGGAGACCCAGGCGGGACTTGGGACAGCCGGCCCTGGCTTCTGAAGACTTCTCGGCTAGCCGGCCGCAGCGAGGGCGTTTCAGTTCACCCAGCCGACGAGCGGCTGCTCCTGACAGCATCCCCGGCGCTGTCACCGCCCTGCACAAAGAAACCCCCGCCAGCTCCGCCGCAGCCCGGGGCACTGGGTAGTTGGTTTCCGGCCAGAGAGGCAGCGGCGCCCGAAATCGGACTGCGCCCCTAAGGCCGCCCCGGTTGGAGCAGTAGCTTTCTGTGGGGTGGGGAGGGGCCGACGGCCGACTGTGCTGGGTTCGCCGCCACCAGAGGCTGCACCTGCCCCGGAGGATGTCCAGGAGCCCGCAGGAGGTGCTCCGGGTCAGAACTTTTTAGGTTGTCCGCGCCCATCCCCGCAGTCTCCCCGGGCCACGCACGGGTAGGCGGGGGGCCGAGGGAGCGCCGCGGCGCGAGTCCCCCTCCCATTCTCATCTCCCACCCCCAGCTCGGCCGCCCGCCGCTTTGTTCCGGGCGCGCCGAGGGAAGGCAAGGCTGCGGCGGATCATGCCCATGGTGTAGCGGCCAGGCGGAGGCATGGCTGCCGGAAGGTTGCTGCTCTACACGGGCCTCTCGCTAGCGCTCTGCGCCCTCGGTATGCTGGCCGTGGCCATCTGCTCCGACCACTGGTACGAGACGGACGCCAGGAAGCACAGGGACAGGTGCAAGGCCTTCAACACTCGCCGGGTTGACCCCGGTTTCATTTACAACAACAACAACAACTTGCCGCTCCGGGCGAGCCGCTCGCGGCTGGACCGCTGGGAGGGCAGACTCCTCCGGGCCCGGAATCGCCGGCAGCTCTTCGCCATGAGCCCCGCGGACGAGTGCAGCCGGCAGTACAACTCCACCAACATGGGCCTCTGGAGGAAGTGCCACCGGCAGGGCTTCGACCCCGATATCGCCGCCCTTATTCGGAAAGGTAAGGGCCGGGCGTGGGGCGCGAGGCGTGGCGCTGCGGAGAGCTGGGTGCCTGCAGGCCCTGCTGCCCCGACCCCTCCTCCTCGGGGGCCATGGGCTACCAGATCTCTGGGTTGGCTAGTCCTGGCAGGGCCGCGGAGTGGCCAGAACTCTCCTTCCAATAGCTGGTCGTGGAACTTGCTTGGCCCCTTCCTTAATCCATCTTGCTCTGGTTTGTCTGGCTCCCTGCACAATCTCGTGGTCCAGGATTTTTTTTTGTTCCTTTTGGCCTCCTCAGCCCATTATAGGGAAGGCAATGTAAAATGTGCAGTAAAGACAGGTTGCATATCTGTGGCTGTTGAAGTTATCTAAGTGGTGTGCTGGGGGAAGCATCTCATCAGAAGAGATCCTACTCAGGCCAGAAGCGTTTGCTGGGCGCTGTAGTTTACCAGGCAACGGGCAGGCACATGACGGCCCTTGCCCTGTGGCAGCTCGAAGTCGGTTAGCCTGCAGCATCATATCGCGATTTATTTCTGCTTTTGAAAAAGTAGTGGACAAAAGTGACTTGTGTACGTAGGAGCTATTGAAGCACGTATACAGAAAATAAGTTCTTGGGGTAACGCCTGAGTGGGGCTTTCACAGGAAAAAGAAATGTGATTTTTTCAGGTTTAGACTAAAAGGAGAAAAAAAGAGGATGAGGCGAACCGAAACATCAAGGTGCTTTTGCCAACTACCAAATTTGGTACTTTAATGTGGTCACACACATTTAAAAAATTCTGCAGATTTGAAACAGTCGACATAGCTTGTAGGACTGTGCCGTGTCCGAGCCGCTGGGATGTGGTGTGTGTGTGCGTCAGTAGCGCTGTGCGGAGAGGAACCTGTTATCTGATGTCTGCATGCTGGGAACACGCAGATTTTGTGGCCCTTGTCCCACCTCCCCTCCCCCGTTTTGTTTCCTTCAACTACTAAATGATGCCAAGGTGACGATGGTGCGGTTGCTTGCAAACTGCCTTGAGGCCGCTCTTTATATTTCTTCCTAGCATGCCTTGTGGCTTGCTGCCACTTGGGAATAATATTTGTGCCAAGTGATGCTACTCTTTCATCTGCAGTGAGTTAAAACAGATCAGAAAAAAAAAATATTACTGCTTTGAAGAAATGGGAGTTTAAGAATGCCAAGCAGTGGATAACGGCCTAGGTGGCTGGTTCAGATTTGGGTGAAGTAGGTTCAGAGAGAGAATCCATCTTAGTGTTGTTCTGTGGTTTGTTTAGAATGACTAGGGATTTTTAGGTGGTATAGCTGTGGGTGTGTTCATGCAACAAACATCCTGTTTCGTGATTAGACTCAAATTAGAGCAAGGTGACCCATTGGGAGTGCCACGACTTTGCAAGAGTCCACAAGACAGAGACTTAATTGAGAAGTTGAGAAGCAAGAGGAAATAGAGTACTTAATTAAACATTTTTTGGGGGAGTAAAACAGTTTTTGACAATGGGTAGCTTTATAACAATTTTCAGATTCTCAGATTCATAGAATTATTTTATTCATCATTTTCTGCTCCCTGTAAAATTGAAATGGTAGGAAGTTGGCTGAAAAGTGAAGGAGAATCCATATTCATAATAACTGGTAGGCACTGCTGAGATTTGCTGAAGGACATTCTCCAGTTTCTGTTTTTGGATGCCCTGGGAACCAAGAACAGATACTTTCTGTCTGGAATTGGTTAACCCCACTTGGAGAAAGGGGATCAAATTCATGGCCTCTGGAGGTTCCATTCAGGGCTTTGATTCCTTGTTGCTCCGCCTGGCATTTGGACCTGAAAGGTTGACTTGGTCTGTGCACGGGAGGGACGGTTGCCATAGTGACATGTTCTTCCGGTGAAGCTGGAAGCAGTGGCAGAGAAAGGGACAGGGAAGAACGTACAACATTTTAACTTTGTATAGACTGCTTTCTAATTGCAGCAACATAAATGGACGCTACACGGCAGGGGGATTGAATACACTGATACCTAGGGGTGGCAGGACATTGTATTTCATTGGAACTAATGGAAATGTTGGTTCCCATCACCCAAATACAGCAATCACTGTCAGCTGCAAGCACTCGCTTAGCATGGTTGTTTCTGTCCGCTTGACTTCCTTGTTAGGTGTTATGGAGATAGGTGGCATGGCAGCCTTACAAATCTTGAGAGCCTTAAGGTCACTGTACTTTTGAGCTATAAAAACAAGAGCTTTGTAAACTGGATTTTTCTTTTCTAAGTAGCGGTAGATGCATCTTGGAAGTAGTGCATCTTCTATTAGTAGATTTCACAGATAGTTGCAATTACACACAGGATGTAATCTCCAGACTCCATCAGTATTCTTTCTAGTTGGAAAGATTTCACAATATCTCTTTATTTCAAGTTAGGACATCTTAGGGAAAGATATTTGTGTCACATCTCTGCTTAGGAGCCTCCCTTTGGTATCTTAGACCTTTGTTTTGAAACATCCTGATCTGAAGGATGCACCGTTCAAGGGGAGCGGGAAGCAGGGAGAAGACTGCAGTCTATCACTAGCATAGGAAAACTGGAGATTTAGCTATAGGATCATAAAGAATGCAGTCCTTCAGTAAATCGGTCTCATTACATTAAAAAGTGCTGTTTGTGCATTGAAAATAAAGCACAACTCCAAAAATTAATATGGAGACAAGAGGAAAATCCATCTCTCATCTGAAGGTACAGTCCTTCGAGTTCATGTTCATTCTGAAATGCACGTTCTTCAGTGCCTTCCTGCCCCGACTGTCCCCTAAGTATGGATTCCTGGTCATTGCATTTGCATGAATCAACTCTAAGCTCCTGGCAGACAGGAAAAGTCAACATTTATAAGATACTTGAGCACTAACCACAGATTTGGGACTTAGGAAATATATGCATTGGGTTCATAGAAATGTATTTACCATGAAGCTTAATCTAACTGTAAGACGACTTATGTGGGAAGTCAAATCAAAGGTGTTAACAAATTGTGATTAAAAAAAACTACCCAGTGTGTCTACCAGGCCAGGTTAGCATTGCCGCAGATGATGTATCAAAGGAGCATTTTGTGAGAGAAAGCTCTGCTGAGCAATAAGGGAAACACAGTTCCTTCTTGGGTAGCATTTGCAATGCAACGATAAGCATTGCATAGTCGTTGTTTTTCACATTACCTAAGATTTTAATTGTTTCCTTTTTGGAGGTAGGATTGGCTGGGGAGTGCAGCCTAGATACATTGCATCAAGGTTTTGTTTGATTTTTGCCTATGAAGAGTCTTAATTTAGGACCTCTCATCTTGTTCTAAAGATGGCTTGTGTATCCACAGCCTCTAGTAAGTTCCTGCAGGCATCTGGGACCGGTGAATGGCAAGAAGGGTTTGTGAAATCTCAGGGACTTCCAGACACTCAGGTGGAGCAGCTGGAGGTAGGCTGTTGTTTCAGGGAACATTTAGGTTCTTTGGTTTGGACTGAAATGTTACCTTGAGTTGATCTGAAATTAGTAGACCTCAGCTAAGACTTGGAGAACTATTTATGATTTAGGTACAGCAACAGAAACTTTCCATGGCGTACTTATCAGTGTTCCACAAATTGCTTTAGTAAAACATTCTTTACATCTAAAAATTAATAATGTAATTAGCAAATATTTACTGTACCTGTCTCACGTGATGGAGGCGCGTTGCAAAGATGAGCAGGAAAAAGACTTGGTCGCAGAATTCTCAGTTTGTTCATGTCACTGAGGATGGTAAGGGCAACAACAGGATCCCATCTTGTACAAACAGGGGAAGGATGGGCTGTGTTAGCAGGAGGAATTAGGGAGAATTATTCTGAGGAAATGTGGACAAGTTTTTTTTTTAATTGTAAGGAAGATTTACAGGGAGAAGGAGCGACAGAAGGCACTTCCATTCTCTGGTCCACGCCACATGTGGCCACAGTGTGTGGCTGGAGCTGAACTGATCTGAAGCCATGTGCTTCTTGCAGGTTGCCCACATGGATGCAGGATCCCAAGGGTTTGAACCATCCATCCTCTGATACTTTTCTAGGCCATAAACAGGGAACTGGATGGGAAATGGAGAAGCCAGGACGTGAACCAGTACCTGTAAAGAATGCCAGCACTTGCAGACAGAGGGTGACAGCCCCTGGATGAGATGTTGATGGTGATTTGACATGGCCGGGGAGGAAGTGCATCTCTTAGGAAGGGGTCAGCATGAGGAGTGTCTTGGGAGTGTTGATCTCTGGGGTGAGGAGATAGAGCAGATGTGGAGCAGAACAGGCAAGCACTGGATCAGGCGGGTTGCACATCAGATCTATAGCGGTGCTCTCTGAGAGAACAGCCACGAGTCACACGTGGTTCTATAAGTTTAAAATCCTCAGCATTCCCGGTTCCCTGGCTTAGTTCTGTCAACCACATTACAGCCAGATGTGTCTGTCTGTACAGCAGCCAGGATGTGTCTGCTGGCCGTCGTTGTGCGTAGGATAGAAAGCGTCCCCATCACCAGAGAAAGTTCTGTTGGACAGCTTGCAGCTCCTGAACGGTTCAAGCATGTTCCCTACTTCAGATGGGGGTAATTACATGGTCGCTTGAGATGAACTATGTTAACCATTCTGCATAAAGTTCATTACTTGATTATGTTGGACAGAAAGTTTCAAATCATCCTTTATGTTAAATCTATATTTTGTTAATTTTCCATCACTGATTTATAGAATCTTCATCTGCTTCTCCTCTATCCTCTTCTTTTCCTCTCCTTGAGTTCACTAAAAATAAGTTGCAAGATTGACTAGATGGGAAAAGTATTAATAATTATAGCCCAACTTGATGCCAAGAATTCTTAAGTTTTTTTTTTTCTTTAAATTCATTTTATTTAAAGGGCAGAGTGACAGAGGTATCTTCCATTCACTGATTTACTCACTAAATGGTTACAACAGCCAGGGCTGGGCCAGGCTGTGAAGCCAGAAGCCTGGAGCTCGCTCTGGATCTCCCACATGGGGGACAGGGGACCAGGTACTTGGGCCATCTTCTGTTGCTTTCC